AAGTAGTAGTTCGGAGATTATAAAATTTAGTTTATAATATCCTACATCTACTAATGTCTCAAATACGTCCAAGTAGATGAGTCATACCAAATACTCAGGCTATTGGAGCCATCAAAGTGAATTTAGAATACTTTGGAAATATTGGAAAAAGAGCTTGTATTAAATTATTTAAAATACAAATAAAAACCAATGTATTATTTCAATTGATCTTGATATTTTAGACTGACCGGAGGCCGTATTTCTACATTACTGTTTTTCAGTCAAAGGGGGTCTGGGTGCAGCTCTCACAATCGGGGCTACCCTACTAGCAAGTCGTGCTGTCTTAGCGTCTTTTCTCTTCTGAGCTCTGTGCTGCCCTTTCCGTTTCCTTTGTACGTCTCTCGCTCCACGGTTCTTCTCCTTTTCAAATTCGTCTGCTGCGCGTTTCTCAATCTTTTCTATTGCTTCCAGTCATTTCTTTTCCTTCCTTTCAGCAGCAGCGATGAGCGTCTTTTTTCTTTCACGCATCTCTTTATCTTCAGCTCGTTTTGATTTCTTCTTTGCCCTTTCTTCTACATCTGCTTTCATTTCCTCAGGCGTCCGCTTCTTACCCTTCTTGCGTATAGCCGTTGCGACAAAAGGAACTTCTTGCTCATGAAATCTGGTCGGACCTAAAATGAATCAAAGAAAATCTATCCACGTTTATTCGCACATATTTAATAATCATTATTGCAGACGTATACTATAATAAACTAAACATTTAGATATAATATGTGTACTCACTTTCATTGATGCTTATTGCGTCGACATGATCTACGCGGTTAATTTGTCCTGGTATAGTCGGCAGTACCCCCCATTAATGTAATAGCGATAATCAACTCATAGTCTTCTTACAGATGTGACACACAAGTTGCCCTCCGAACCCCTCATGCGCAGGGTTCCCATCGGAACATCTAAAACTATGTGCATATCCATCGCACACACTCGTAGAACTTTTACACACGGTACATTTCAAGCAATTCTTACACGTGTAGGCTGATTCCCCTGTAGAACTACAGTGTCTTTCATCACTACATGCATTCTGTTCTTGCATCTAACACATGTTCTGAGATTAGAAAGCAACGCCATGTCCGATGCACAAACGATACAATGCTGATCTACTTTGTCGCTGTCGTTCATTGCGGTATCAGTTTGCGATAGTCCATGGGGTCTTGCACCTTATCTACGTCCCCTAAACCCACTCATGCTGGTGTGCATTCGTGTATGTGAATAGCACTAATCATGTTGCAACATAGTCCCATGTTTACTACGGACATAAAACAAAAAGTATTCATGCTAACGAAAAACTGTCTTCAGACCCTATAGTCATTTTTCTATTCTCTACAAATCGCGTGCGTTTGTTTCTTGGTTATTCTATTCATAACTATAGCAATCGGTTGGTTTATAAAATACACCTTATAACTCGGATAGTATCCGGGTTCCACTTTTTTATTTTTGGGCCAAAAATTTGAAATCCGGATAGTATCCGAGTTAAAAAGAGACTGGTGATATTGTAGTGCAGTGGGCAGTCATTGCAGTGTGAACGTAAAGTGTGGATGCGGGCGCGGTCAATGCAGTGTATGTTTTTCAAACTGCAAAGTGTTCCCTCGGCTATCTCGTTCTGTCATTTTTTTTTAAATCATATACTTTTAGGGTGTGCCTGTGCTGGGCCAGCAAGCTGTGTGATGGACTTGGTTGGCTATCGAGATTAAAATAAAAACCAATAAAACCCAAAAGCATAGCCTTGTTTTATTTAGTAGGCTATGCCAAAAGTGGATTCTTTTTTTAAACAAAAACAAAAGTTCAGTAGTAAATTAATAAATAGTGTCCACTGACTAGTCACCAGTGGTCGTGACTGTGATAAAAACAAAACAGAATTGTGAATTTAAAATAATTAAAAGAATTTGGACTTTTGAGTTTGGAGTTTGGATTCTTCTATCAATTTCGCTGTATTTTGTTCTATTTTTAAACACAATGGGGGGGTTGTTTTTTTGCTAAAAGTATTTAGCACGTCTAAATAGAGCACGAGATCAGAGCCTCAGAGCCCAGAGGCCTTTCTCTCTAGTCTCTCTGTAGAGAGAGAGTCTTGTTGGATAGAGCCGGACCGCAGAGAGTCCCTTCTAAAAAGGGGACTAAAGTTATCCCTTCTGCGGCGGCTTTTGTCCTTTGTTAAAAATATACGGATTCTTTTAGCGAAATGAAAATACAAATTATCCTTGGTACCAATTGAATCACTCTAATATATCACCGATTTGCTCAAAATCGAAGAAGGAATTTGGTATTTAGTTTTAAAACTTATTATTAGGTGCCGCTCACCACTGCCAGAGTGAGCCAGAGTCCAGACCCACTTGCCAGGGGGTCTCAACTCTCAACTTTCACTTTCCTTACATTGTACATAATTTAAAAATATGGTACAATACATGTTGTTAAAATCCGTATTTTTTATTTGAAAAAATAGTAACTTCCATTTTTGATTTTTCACAGGTCAGAGTTTGTCCAGGTTTATCCGGAGAATCAAAGTTCAGAGTTCAGGCCCAGGGCTTCAGGCCTTCTGGCGCTTCGGCCTTTCAGCCTTCGCCCTTCAGGCTCCTTCAGGCCAGCCTTTTTGCCAAACTGTCTTGAGTCTTCAGTCTTCAGTCTTCACTCGGATTCTTTTTGGATGCGAAAACTAGGACAAATAAAAGTTTTGAAAAAAACCTCACCTGGAGCGGTCTATTACGAGCGCCACTTAAATTAGTCTAACCAAGTGACGCCAATCTGGTATCCAATGTATGAGTCTATAATCAGACGCTTATCCACTTAGAAGTGAAATTGGCCAAATCTATATCGAATTGAATATCCATGAGAGACTGAAGACTAAAAACAACAACAAATGGGCATGAGCGTAAAAGATTAAGGGTCAAAATTATTTGTGAAGTTGTTTCCCCACTCTTAGGCCCAATTTGGCTCCATGAATTCAGTGTTCAGCCCCAGCTGTGGCAATTTCCCGCCGTCCACTCAGATGCAGTCATAGCCTTCTTATCAAATAGAATAGTCATGATGAGTTCACTCGCTGAGGAAGTGTGTGTTTGTGCAATGTGCATATACGATCGACATGTATAAAACACAGACAGATATCGGTGAGTATGGCATAGCCAGCTGCTATAATGTCGCGCGACAACGATGATATTGAGATGGGGGAGTATCTGGTGGATAGAGTGCCTACGGGAAAGGTGGTCAGGGGTGATAGGAATATCACCTTCCTGCGCTGGCGTGTGGTCTTGGGCACATTTATGGGGTATATATTAATCTACGCATTACGAAAGCCACTGAGTTTAGCCAAAAGTGACATGGCTCTCGAATTGACCCTCTCTCCGACAGACTTAGGCTTGTTAGACACAGCTTTCTTATTACCATATGGTCTGTGTGCGATCTTCTTCAGTGGACTAGGCGATGTGCACGGTGCCAACAACGTAGCATCCTTAGCGATGATCGGTGCTGCCCTATGCTATGCCACGATAGGGGCTCTAAGTAGTCTCTTTCCCATCTTGCTGGCCAGTTTTTTTAATGGAGCCTTCCAAGCTGTGATTTGGCCCAATTTAGTCAAGTGCGTGTCGCTTTGGCTTAGCTCTTCCAGTTCAAATGTATATGGTCTGTGGTCTGCCTCTCCTTTCATAGGCGCGGCTATATCCACGTGGGTGGGGGCCTGGATCATTGGTATGTTAATGTCTCACAACCAGTCCGGGATTGTCTTGCATATTTGGTATATGATGACTAGATATCCAATTTATATGCTAAGTATTGACTAGCATGTCGTGCGTTGGACTCCCCGCTATGGTTCTTAGTCTGCTGGTATTTGAATGTCGCATGTCAGTGTGCCAAGTTGTGACTTCTGAAAGCGATCACCCACGCATGCCATGTATTTTTCTCAGAATGTATACAAGTGCGATTCTTGATTGTCGGTACATATCTAAACGAGCGACCTCATTTGGTCTGGTATCAGTTCACTTACACCCTGATGGAAGCGTTCTGACGAGTTCTTGTTTGGCGATCGTATGGGTTCGCAGTGGCACTACCCATGCCTACACATATACATACTTTCAGGCTGTTCTCTATCATGTCTTCGGCTGTTGGTTGGTGGCCAACATAGGGACATGTGTTGCTTAATAGTTCGATACGAATATTTGTTGTTCGCATCAGCAATGTTTCGCATAAACAGTATTCATTATTGTCAGCGCATAATTCATAGTATCTTACGATTATAAATCAAGGCTCAAATTTTTGCTCTTGTTGTCAGGTATATATTGGCCAGTTTAAACTGAGGTTCTGTTTGAATCTTTTCAAACTATATTCTGGAACTAATGGAATTGTAATACGATACAACGGTCACTTCCCCACTTGACGGCGTTGTATTTACCCCAGTTGCAGTGGTCATTCCTGATTGAGTGTGCTAGACATAGGGCGTTTCGCAACATATTCTATGAAAGCTGACACTTATGGCCACATACGAATAAAAGTNTNTGTATATATATATATATA